CTTTTAGTAAGTTTCTTTAAATGGTCAAATAGTAGACTATCTCACAAGGCAAGAAGTAGAAATCTCTAAGCCAAAAGCACTTACAAAGAAAATAATATTTAAATAATTAAATAGAAATTAAAAGATGCAGTTAAGACTATAGGCCAAAATAAAAGAAAAATAAGAGCACCAACAAAGTTAATATCAAATGTAAGAACAGGTGGTAAATACAACTAGTTGCCCCTGAGAAACTGGAGACAGTGGTGGAAAAGAAAAGTTTCCTTTCATTGTATGCCCTTTTAATATGCTTAATATACATGTATTTCCTTTTAAAAATGTGCATTTTTAAACAAATAGAAGAGAAGACGGTAAGAAAAATTTCATTGTTTTAGAGTAGTTTGATTTTTCCAGACCTACCAAAATTATGCAACCTTATTGCAAGAAGATGTACACGCTAGAACAATCAAGAGACTGGACAAATGCTCTTTCAGTTTTTCTCACAATGGGAAAATGTAAATTTGGGAAATCAACATATGTAACCTTATGAGTAAGAAGATTCATGATAGGAAAATTCCTGAATTTTCTCTGAACATTTAAAAAAGATAGTGATTATTACTAATATGTATTGAGAGAATGCGTGTTGTGTTCAGACATTACATAATTTAATTCTTGTAACCAGGACCAGCTACATAATTTGTGGGGGCCAGTGAAAAATGAAAATGTAGGGCTTCTTATTCAAAAGTTAAGAATTTCAAGAGGGTGACAGCAGAGCACGAAACCACGCGTGAGGTCCTTCTGAGTGGGGGGACCTGGGTAACTATATAAGTTGCACACCCATGAAGCCAGCCCTGTTTGCATCACCCTTGTGAGAGATGTATTATTATTCCTATTTTAATATGAAGAAAAGAAATACAAGCTCTGAGGGAGTAACCAACCTGCCCCAAATGTTACAGTATATGAATTATTGACCTGACATTTGAGAATTGAGGAGTCTCATTCACAGATCTTCACTTGTAATCACCTTAAGAGGAACTAGCTTCAAAACCTAAAGACAAATAATTCTAAACTAACTCTTTTCTATTTTTACTGGCTAATTAACTGACAGATCAAGGGAATAGTATTTAAAAGCAAGTATATTTTATTTTCCTGAGGACATTTGAAGTCATTTGAAATATACTCATAATCTAAATGAAGAAAGGTGACTGGATAAGAGTTTAGTTAGGTAGACTCAAAGTTTGTTGAATATAGCTCAACCCATATTATATTCTAATTTTGACCCTGCCCTGTTCAACATTTTAGTGAAGGCATTAAGTCATTCTTATCAGATTTTTAGTTGTCCTAATTTTAATATATTTAGATGACATAATTCCATAATTGCAAAGATAACATAGGAATGATAGACTTAATTTGGAAAGAAAAGTTTTGAAATTTTTCTCTGCTTACAAAAGCGACATTTTACAGAAAAAGTTTTATTGTAGAAAGTTGGAAAATAGAATCCAGTAATATGTAGCCCACAATAGGAATGATCTATGCTTTCTCTGCCAAAAAATAACTATCAATGTTTATATCTTGCATTGTAATGATAATGTAAACATTTTCCAATGACATCAAAAATATTTGAAACCTACAATACTCTATCATATGCATGTACTATAATTTATTTAAACTATCACCTACTGATATTAGGTTATTTCCATTATTTTACTGTTGTAAATGATCCCATGAACAGGGATAAATTTTATGTGCAGCCTATAGCCTCAAAATAAACTTAAGTGTGGGGCTGGCCCGGTAGCATAGAGGTTAGGTTCACCTGCTCTGCTCTGGCAGCCAGGAATTCATGGGTTTAGATCCTGGGTGTGGACCTACACACTGCGCATCAAGTCATGCTGTGGCAGCGTCCCACATGCAGAATGGAGGAAGACTGGTACAGATGTTAGCTCAGAGACAGTCTTCCTCAAGCAAAAAGAAGAAGATTGGCAACAGATGTTATCTCAGGACCAATCTTCCTCACCGAAATAAATAAATAAACTTGTGTTAAGATACTCGCTGAGGGAAATTTGCTTTTGTAACATTTGAAAAGAAACTTCCTTGATTGCTATATGTTCAGTGCACATAATTATTTTGCATACTTACATTTTTCACCTGGCCCTTGCCTTCTCTCACAATTGTTTGTGTGGTTGTCACTTTCACTAGTATACTGTAAGATCCCTAAAAATGGAGATTCCATTTTATTTCTGAATGTCCTGTAGTGATACATATTGAATACGTCTTGGAATTTAATTGAAACATTGTGATTCAGCTGCTGAGTAACTTAAACAATTTTAGATTGCTTTAATTGAATATGGTGTCCAAAGCCAGGAAACCTGGGTTTTGGAGCACCAATCAGATTAAATTTCATCCTAGCAAATACCTGGTATTGTAGAGCTTGGAAATAAGATTTATCAGAGTCATGATAATCAAGCTTCAGATCTTTAAGACTGTCAGGTAGAAACAAAACTTGTTCTGTGTTGGTCCAGGGTTCAAAACAAATTTTAAATGAATGAAGTCATAATAAGGTAGGCTTCTACTAGGTGTAAAGATCTTTGCCAATGGAAAATTTTGCTGCCATACTCAGGAAGGAGTTTTCTGCTTCTGGGAGTAGTGAATCCCATAATAAATAGGAGGTGATACTAAATGACCTCCATAATCCTTTCTGTCTTTATTTTTAATGATTCTAACACATAATTAAGTATTTACAGTCAATAACTAAAAACCATGGGGAAATTTAGTACACGACCAATTGTCTTTTATCCTAATTATATGGAGTAGGTATTGAAAGTAATTATTAATTTGTTGTATATAACAAATTATACCCTATATTTACAGTTCACTGCACAGTTGTTTTCTTATTTCTCCATCCCCAAGGAAATGAAGTAGTATTTTCAATTACCGTACAGTAATGATATTTAGTATAGAACAATGTCTTACTATTATTTATTACTATGTCTTACTATTATTTTATTATATATTATTTTATTATATATATATTTTATTATAAATGTCTTACTATTATTTTAGTAAGAATGATTTTTTTCTTTCTTTACTCTACCCTCCGTGGGCACATCTATCCAATTTCATAAAGGCATCAATGAGAAAATGTTATAAAATTACAGAAATTAATTTCACAGCCAAATATTCAGTAGCACAAATATTCCGTAACATTAGCTGTAACCGCAAAAAATAGCTTTGTATTTTCAGAACCTCTGCATTCTGGTGTCTGCACATATAAAATTAGAAATTTTCCATCTGAACAATATTCTCTTCAATCCATCATTGTATGCAAAAAAGTTTGCTCATGGTTAAAAAATACTATTCTGAAGAAATTAAATGCTCCTGGAATCCTACTTAAAAAATTACATTTTCTTTTTCATTAAAGGTAAACAATTTGATCAAGTAATGGTCACTTGCTGTTGAACGCAATTAGGTTTGAGGTTATATTTTAAGCATTTTAAAAATCTATGTTACTTTCTGCTTTCATTTCAGCATAACTTGTCAATGACTGTATAATTATTGTTTGAAACTCAATGATTGGTTCTGAATAATGAATCTATGAAAATCTTAGAGAACATAAAACCTGTGCTTTACACGTGTAGAAACTCAGTATCTCTTAATGTCCCTTTTTTTTTTTAACTGTTTACACTCCAAAAATGGAAGTCCTTAAGGCCTTGTCGTATGTACGGATGTGGCTTGCACAAAGGGTAGCACTTTTAAAATGTATTTGCCAAAAGCAATTTTTACACCAGACATCATGACAAAGGATTTCATTACTTCACTGTCAATTGCCTATTTGGAAGCTGAAATGAGAAGATCCTGAGGCTTCCTTGATATCCTCCCATTGAAGGAATCAGTCACCATGTGTGAGGCAGGGAGGTTGCCCCAAATAGTTTCTGTATCTCTTGGCAAGTTCAGGAAAATCAGTAAAACTAACCTTGGCTCTAGCTAGATCCCTGGCTCTGTGGATATTAAGTGCCTATAAGTGGATTCAATGCAGATCTGTTTTGGTCTCCTTGGAAATAGATCTTCCAAATAATGTGGATTACTAGAATGGTAATGACTAGCATCCCAACAAGTGACTTTTCAGTCCTAATAACAGGAGGACTGTGACAGAATTGATGGTTAAGGAAGGAAAGAGGGTGTCACCATCAAACGACCTGTCTGTCTGGTGATGCCCGTGTACTGAGGTGATGGTCTCTCATGATGTGGATCACAAAGCATGTTATTCCAAAGAGTGATGATCTATGCCCCCAATAATTTTTCTTAACAAGTCTGAACAGAAAGTTAGTGTGTTTTTAAACCAAGAAGACTAATGATAACTTTGGAAACTCAAATAGTTTAACATATTCACTAATTTAAATCAAACAGGAGTACTGTGCTTTTTAGCATTTGAATAACATTCAGCTTCAGTGTATTTATGGACTAATAGGCATTTTTAGTTAACCTTTTATTGTAATTGTAAAAGACATTCCACTTATTTGATTAAAAACTCATTTATTATAAAGTTCAAATAATTGTTTTTAAAAGTATATAGGCTATAAATAATCACTGTATATGATAACCCAAGACACATTCAACTAACTATTTAATAAACATTTACAATGTGCCAGGCAATGGAATGGTGCTGGAATACCTTAGTAAAATTTATGTTAATGTTGTAAATGTTTAATTAGCATGTTTAATTAAATACCAAAAGACGCTCTAAGTTTTTCTCTTTTGACCCCTTTGTCTCCTATAGCTTGACCAATAAATTGAAGAGGCACTAAGTTTACTTCTTGTTTTGAGATTACTATCCTTCGTGATTTCAGTCAACATAACTTAAGTCAGATAAAACAATTTGATTTGGTTTCAATATGGTGCTATTTTGATCTGAAGGTCAATTTACCAACAAGCAGAAACAGTTTCTCATTATATCCTTCACCACGGCAAGCAGTCTTGACTGAAGTCTTTCAAGCAATGTGTGACCTTTGTTTCAATACTTCTCACAGATTTCACAGGCTGTCACCACCACTCAGCCATCACTAACGCAGACAACTGTAATGGAAACGGTAACTATGGTGACCACAAGGGAACAAATCCTGGTAAAGCATGCCCAAGAGGAACTTCCACCACCACCTCCGCAAAAGAAGAGGCAGATTATTGTGGATTCCGAAATTAGGAAAAGGTGAGAGAATCTTCCTTGTGGCTTTATCCTTAAGCAAAGAGTAATTGTTAAGCAGCAAAATTCATTCACAGTTGTTTTAATGGCAGTGTTTTTACTCAATATTTCCAGAAGCCTCAGGTACGGGTAATGTCAGTTAAGTTAGTGAGGAAAATTATGAACTAAGTTTTAAAATTTTCCCAAGGAATCACTATCCCAAGAAAAACTGAATGCTTAATGGTAATACCATTTCCAGATTAAAAGAAGAAACCACAATTGATGAACTTCCGTGAATGCATTTTAATCCTGAAAGTTTCTTTTTTTCTTATAAAGAGCCTGCTTTTTCAGTGCCTTCTTTCACATTAAATTTCTTTTTTCCAGTAATGGAAAGTACAATTTCATGAAGAAGAAGTACACCTATAATAGACGAGATCCATTCTGCTAGATTACGAGAACATAATGTCTCAATCTGTGCATCCTAAATCAGGAGTAATTACAGAACAGATTTCCTGTTCTTTGATATTTATAAAGCCTTATCTTGAAGGTGTTAGAATTTTTAACTGATCTTTTTGTGGATATTCTCAACTAGACATTGTAGATAAGTTAGGTATTATGTAAATCAGTGGATATATTAAAATGATGGGAATACAATTTCATAGATGCAAAGCTAGCATAAAAACCATGAAAAATGGTACAACTTCCTTTTCATTCCAATTATAATTCTAAGATTAAGAAAGAACATTAAAATCTGCCTTATGTTTCTGAGCAGCATATGTTTAGGAACGCATGGAACACTTGACATTAGAATTTGCATATACTAGGGTATGGAAGTATGGGAACAAGAACACATCCCTAAAAATAGTGTTTCAGATGTTCTAGGCAATGGAAAAACACCTTAGAGAGTACATTATTTGGGACTTACAATACTTCTCTATTTATGACTTATAACCTACCTTCGTAATTCCACAGTATACCACTGGGCCCTGGTGTATCTGCTTGGCTGAGTGAATCCTCTGGTCCAGGGATCAGCAAACTAAACCCTGCAGGCGAAATCCAGCCTGCTGCTAGTTTTTGGATGGCTCACGAGCTGAGAATTGTTTCTGCATTTTTAGGTGGTTAAAAACAATCAAAAGGAGAGTAATATTTCATGACGTGAAAATTATATGAAATTCAAATTTCAGCATACATAAATAAAGTTTTATAGAAATAGAGCCACACTCAGTCAATTATGTATCATCTATGATTGCTTTGACATTACAAAGGCAGGGTTGGGTAGTTGTAACAGAGACTGTATGGCCCACAAAGCCTAAAATATTTACTATCTGGCCCTTCATGGCAAAACTTTGCTGACCCTTGTACTAGTCAAATGGTTCTCAGAATCTTTGAATATTAGCATTCTATTAGGGGCAACAACTTCCAAGGACTCTACTCATAATGGTGCTTGTAATTTTAACATTCATTGATGGAGAAAAAACATAATGGCAAAAATAAATCAAGAAAGCTTTTAATGAATTTGCTTTTTATTAATCCTGACAGCATGGGCATTAATTTACTGTCATGTTAATATGTGTCTATAGATAATGCTTAGTGAGCACGTGGATTTACGGATGCTTGCAACAACCCAGGAGCTCTCCAATAGTTTTCCAAGCAAAGCAATATGGAAACCTAGTTGCCTTACCCTAATAATGTGTTCAGGAATCCACTAATATAGAAATTAACAGAGCAAGTTGATTCATGTTAATCTCTGTCTTCAAAAGCTTATTCTTGGCTCCTGTTTGGAGAATGTATTTGGTTAGGAAAAATGTGTTCTGACTACTTTTTGTTCTCAGGAAAGTGTAGCTAGTGGTGAAATATTTTGTCTCCCAAATTCTGTTTGTATCATATGCTCTCCACAGGTTTTCTAAGTGTCTGGAATGAGACGTCCAACTGGAAACATAAAGAATATATTACTTTTAAAAAGCCAGCACGTATTGAGGGTTTTATTATGTGCTCAGCACTAGATTAAATGCTTTATCTGCATAGCTCATTTATTCTTCTCTGTAACCCTACCAAATAGGTATGGCTATTATCACTATAGTACACAGCTACAGAGTACCTGAGCCAAGATTTCAACTGAGGTAGGCTGACTACAGAACCTGGACTGTGTAATAAAATGTTTCTTCAGTAGATTTATTGCTGAGATGATCTTATGTCTTGGTTTGCCTGAATCCATCCCAGATTATACCTTTTGTCCCAGCATAATTATATATAGCACCAACTTTCACTCTCAAACGTATCCTGTTTTGGACAGTGCAACAATATAGACAATCTCTACAAGACTCCAGATTGATACATTTACGCTGAACAAAGAAAACAAACAGGCAAACATTTAGGAGCAATTAAATTCAGTAAGTGATCATTGTTTACAGGATGAAATCCGGTTAAAATATGGTAATGGTTCAAGAGGCATCAAGCAAACATGCCAAAAGACTTAGGGTGGCTAGTGTCCCCCTCTCATCCCACGTGAGAACCGCTAGCATTTAACTGTCAAGACTATAGTCTCGACAATCTACTGAATGCTGATCTTTTAAAAATGAGCTCCTTTTTCAGCTTTTCTGACACACTACTGATTCTGCCTTACTACTCTTTATCTGACTTGTTTTCCTCCTTTTGCCTGATTCCTATGGTAATATCTCATAACTCCATCTTTTTGCCCTTCTGACTTCTTTATCTGATTTGTTTCCTCTCATTGATTCAAGTCTGGCTCTAAGTCAATGACTCCCAAATCTAATGGCTCCATAACTGACTCGCTCCCTCAAATTTCACTTTTATGTCTTTAAAGCCATGATCTAGGTACTTCTACTTGGGCATCCAGCCATTGCTTCAATTTTTATTTTTACCAACTGCATACATTTGTTGCCTGAAACTAACCACACCTAGTTACTCATACGCTGCACACATATTTTCCTTATTATAATTCATTGCCTATGTGTCTAAAGGAGTAGCAAATATTGGATAAAGCATGGACTTTGGATTCAGAATTACTCAGGTTTGAAACCTGCCTGTTTTAATTATTAGCTTATGATCCCAGGCAAATTACCTAGTATCTGTGCCTCAGATTCAGTGTCCTCACTTTATAAAATACTAACTGTGAGGATTAAGTAAGAAGCATTTAATACTGTGCCTGTAAGGTAGGAATAATTCAATAAATGCAATAGCTATTATTCTTGTTGTTTGGTTACGGTGGACGTGGTGGAAGGGCAGTAGTGGTGGAGGTGATGGAGGTGGTGGAGATAGTGGAGATGGTGATGGAGGCCGTGGTAGTAGAGGTGGTGGTGATGATTAGGCAGGCGGTGGTGGTGGTGTTTGTGGAGGTGATGGAGCTGGAAGTAGTGGTGGAGATGATGGTCACGTACTATCAGTAAGAAAAAAATAGTAATAACGTCATCTCAAACTTAATGAATAGAAGAAAAACTACGTTCTTATCTTCCTCTTCAAAACAGAATTTACCACCTTACTTCTCCGTTTCTGTCAATCTCTGTTTCTTACCTTCCTCCTTATTTATTATTATTGCATTACATTATTGGGCAAGTGACATCATTTCAGTCATTTTCCAATCATCCTAACTGCCAACTCCGTAACCTAAGCCATATACTTCCCTTTGGTGTGACTTACCCCCTTTCTAATTAATCTGCCTCAAATTAAGATATCTAAAATGTTGCTTTTATGCTGACTCTCCAGACTTGAGGTCTGCATAATTCCAATTGCCCCCAAAATAAAACACAAGCCCCTTCTTATGGTATTCAACATTATTCTCTCATTGATTTTAAGTCTAACTTCGCCAAAATCTTTCCACTTCAGCCAGTAAATTACGTTACATTCTTTTTGCTATATACTTTAATGTCACTCACATAAATTTTTCTCATCAACAATCACAACAAATTCTGTTATTATACTTCTCTATATTTTGCTTAGTTTCCATATGTAGTACCATGAATACAATAAACAATCAACAAATGTTTGCTCAAGGAGTGAATAATACAGTTCAACTATTTGTGATAACTAAAATGTTATATTCCAAAAGCACTTAAGAATTCTATCTAGCTCTTCATGGAATTGTTCTTAATAATAAACAAATGAACATTCTAATAATCTTTAATAATTCTAATTTTACCCATTAGGTTATCATTATTTAATCAGAACTATGAAGGGATTTAAAATTCAGCTTTGCACCACTCTATAGTTTCTTAATTATCTAAGGTGCATTTAATTGTTTTCTTAATAATTATACAGTTTCTACATTTGTTACATTCACTGCACAAATTGTCCTCCTTACACTAAGGTATACGAAAGTGTTTGATGATCTTGGGTCATAAAGTAATTATTTCTATGAGTAAATTATCCCTGTAGTTCAGTTATATTATTTTACATATAGGTAATTATCAGAGTATGAAACTCAGACTAGGTGAAAACTAGATCTCTTATCTAGTTAATTGGAATTTATCGAGGAGATTAGTCCCTAATCATGTAGCAGTTATTTTAAAAGACTTTCCACAAAAGTTTTCATTTACATTTTTGTATCAATCAGGTGAAACCAAAGGCAAATTGAATCTTTTTTTAAGTAAATGCCATCTCAATAAAGATAATTTTCTCCAGTATAGTGTTAATAAATGAGTATCTTTGACCTCAAGGAAAGAATAGAGGCATTTAGAAATAGCTAAATTCATCTAGTCTCTTTATCTTCTCCTGGGTAAGCAGACAGAGTCTTAAGTTTGCTTTCTCTGACCATGTCCCGCATACTTACTAAATGGCAGAATAAATTGCCTAGACAATTAGAGACCTGCATTATTATTATTTTTTTAATGATTGGCACCTGAGCTAACAACTGTTGCCAATCTTTTTTTTTCCTGCTTTTTTTCCTTCCCCAAATCCCCCCAATATATAGTTGTATATACTTTTTTTAGTTGTGGCATGTGGGACGCTGCCTCAGCATGGCCTGATGAGTGGTGCCATGTCCGTGCCAAGGATCCGAACCGGCAAAACCC